CAGTTACCTCAGCGGCTGCTGTTGAAGTTGCTTCTGTGCAGGAATTTAGCATTGCTGTTGACATGTGCTGCTTGGTGCTAGATGTCGTATGGGCACGCATCGGGAAGGGAGAAAGAAGAAAGTTCTCCCTTTTAATGAAGTTGCAGTAAAGTTGGAAGAGCTACTGATTTTTTTTTTTCACCCTACTTTTTTATTTCTCTGATATAAAAGGATTTTGTATTTGAGAATGATACGAATATTTTTTTTCTGCAGATTCGGTACTGCTAGTCCTAGAAATACCGACACCGTGCACATATGTGCACATGTTTATGCTTGTACAAATGTGGATAAGGTCCTTGGTTTCAAGGTTCATGAAGTAAAGAATTGGCACAAATATCCCCATGTTATTCACTTAAGCTTATGGGTCGCTACCATTTATTGTCTAAATTACTTTACTGATGGATTGAGATGAAAATGTTTTCTTAGTTGAAGGCAGATATTGTAGTTCAGATTTATGGCAATATTAAAGCTTTAAAAAAAGCATATGCCCTGTGTAGTGTATTACATTAGCTAGCTATTCTGTATCACTTGAAAGCACTTCATAATCTATAGTTTCTAAATTTTCCCATGATGTGTAGTCAAGATAAAATGCAGTAATATTGATGTGATATCCTGAACTTATTATGATCAGCGAATTGCATCAGAAGTAATGTGACCTGTTTGAAGTAAGGGAATGTAAACAACACATGTTTATTTGTAGTATTCACAATGATTTTTTTTTTTTCCTTTTTAAGAAAAACATTTATTTTATTCTGAAGTAAGGAAACTTTGGGAGCTAGGGAAAGCAACAGGAAAGCAGACATTGGGTAATAGGAGAAAAGCTGAGCTAAAACTTCGTTTCTGTAAAAAAGGATACTCAGATATTCCCCTCAGCTGAGTTTTCCGTTTTCTGTTCTGTGTCGGTACAGATGATTTATCACGCAGTTTCTGCTGCGTGCATGAGAACCCAGCCAGAGCCCTTCAGCCCAGGGAGAAATCTGTGTTACTTGACTGTTCTCAGTTTATCCCACTTGTGTCATTTTGGTCACGGTCAAAAGTGGGTGGAAGAGTTCAGTGCTACTCTCCGAAGAGATCTGCAGTGACATTTGTTTTGACTTGGCATATATTGAAAGTGTTCTTACAGTTGAAAATATGAGCTTGGATTTTGGAGAAGTGGACTCTAGTTTACTTTTTGACTCTTACTCTGTGTCCATTTTCTTCATCAGTGAAGGAAGTGAGGTTACATGAACTCCCCGTAACGAACAGAGTGTGATTCTGTGAAAGAAGGCAGCGTAACTTTGATGCTTTAAAGAACTGGATCAGCATCTGTGATTGTCAACATAAAAGGAAATAATACCAAAGCCCAGAAATTAATTTTTTGTAATATTTCTTTTCCCTGTGCTCAGAATTATGCTTTTTTCACCTTTAGAATTTTTTTTATATTGGGCTGTGACTCAAGAGGCCCATCCCCACTGAATGTTTTTGGGGAAGAATGGATTATCTCCTTTTGTGGAATTATTCTAAAATTCAAGATGTGTCAATATGGGGAAGTTAATGGTAGTATAGGAACTGAGAATGTAGTAGTCGGTCTTAATTAACTCTTGGCTTTACTGTCCTTATTCTGGAATAAGTGTGGAATTTAATTTAAAAATAAAAATCTTCATTTGTTTGGAAGAAAGCTCTCTTAGTCTAGACTATCCACAGGATTCAAGCCACATGGGAAAGAAAACTCTGCTCTAAAGAAGCCTAAAGTATTTGGTTTTAGATTTTACTTTCCATTCATGTTATTTTGTTTTTGGATGTACATTATTGGAACATACAGCACTAGGAAATCACAATCAGACTGGAAAGGCATTTGCATTCAGTAGGTTTCACTGAGAGATTCTATGAAAACCTTTCACCAGCTGGTTCATGTGGAAGGGCCCGAGTTTGGTTTTTTTGTTTTTCTTTTTTCAAGGACAGTTACCTAGAAGGTCTGCCTTTCTGAAGGGACATAAAATTAAATTGCAAGAACAGATTTTGATTTTTACACAAATTCTCTCAATTTACCATAATTTCAACTTCATCTGGATGCTTGCCTGGGATCTTAAAACATTTTAAAAATGCCTGTAATTATGCTGATACAGTTCCTCATGTGGCTGCCATTATATCTTTGTAAAAGTTTCTCGATACTGATAGAAGTATTAGTCTGTAAGGAACGGAATAAATTCTAATGTGTGGCATCCTTATAGTGATGTATCGGGCATTCAAATGCCATTAACTGTAATAAACTTTTCAACGTGAGGGATGTCCTACCTAAAGAAACAATGTCTGCGCCATCCTTCCTTGTTGCTCTTGCAACAGCAACCTCAGCCTAGTCCTCTGAGGTGCTGAGCGCCTTCCAGCTTGTGTGGCAGCTGTCCGAGGGGGCAGCCCTCTGCACATCCCCGTGCTCGGCGTGTGTGTGCATCTCTGCATCTGGGGAGGTCTGGGGCTACCGCCTTCCTTTCCCTGACCCTGGAGTGTGACTCATCTGTAGTTCTCCTTGGCCATGCTCATGCTAAGCTCCTAAAATGATGAGCAAGATTTTTCGAACATGCCGTAATGCTTTTCACAGCACCGACTATGTGACTATATGCTAATTGTTGTCCTCTGCTGCAAAGCTGGTGTGGCTTTTGCCACCAAAGCTATTTTAGTGCAGCTTCTGCATTTTTTTGACAGTCGAAATGAAGATTTCATCTTCATTGCAATCTGTTTTTCTGCCTGTTTAAGAGCAGACAGTGTGGTGTGTTTGTATTTAATAAATTTTTGTAGTTTAAAGCCTGAGTCAGTGGAGGCTAAGTTTTCTGCATGCGTCATGCTATAGAATATGTGAATGTGTATGGCAAGGGACTCTATAACTCCCATCTCACCTCTTCACTGTCTCTTGTGCATGGACAACAATAAGAGAGTGTTGGGTACTGGCTGGATGCTGGGGAAAACAACTTTTTGTACCTAGGCACAATTTGGGCGGAGCTGCAGTGATAGACAGTTGCTACCCGTGGTTAGTCTATGTGAAGTAGATTTAGCATCTCTCTCTGGTTCCCAACAGACAAGAGAGGCTATTGCGAAAAGCCTCCCATGGTGATCCCAGCAAAGGGTGTGGGATAGCCAAGAGACAAATCCTGCCCTCTAAGACAAAATTAAGGCATGCAGTAGACTCTTATAACCTCCCTTGAGCTGCTTTTAGGGATGCTTCAGGCCACTCTGGTCAGTCCAGCTCTTCTGACCAGGGTAAATTCTCTAAACATGTTTTGCTTTACTGTCTGTCACTGTCCAGTTTTAGTCGAGTATAGAAGCATCCTAACTGTAATGCCTACAAGTCTTGAAAATGCCTATATATGCACAGAAAAGGCAAATTATGGATGAAATGTATAGTGTTGCTGTGTTTGAACAATGCAATCTGTAGGTGGCTAAAGGGCTAACTAAATTGCAGGCATAATGAAAGCTCTGTGGTATTTAGTATATGTTCTGTCAGCATTAAACAGTCACCTTGTAAATATATGTTAATTTTGAAGGTGTAACTGACCTTTTTAATATTAATTGAAATGTCTCATGTTTAGAGGTTGGCACTATCGTAGAAGAGACAGAAGCTTGTGACTGGTGGAGCCTGGGTGCCATTCTTTTTGAACTCCTTACTGGGAAGGTAGGGCTGGGGCAAGTTACTCGATAAAACTGACCTCTTGGCCAGTAGTTTCTCACAAGTGGTGTGCCCAGTTGTGATTTCCTTGCTTGTCTTTCTCAGATGTGCTTTGCCAACCTGAGTACCCTCAATTTGCTTGGTCTGCATGGGACCAAAGAAACAAAACATGCTCAAGCTTCAGCAGAAAAAATTGATAAAGCCGTATCAAACTCAGGACTGAAAAAATAACCAAAACCCATGCTGCCCTCTTACCCAGAGTGAAATCAAAGTTCTCTATCATTCCTTCTGTGCATTTACAAAATTTTTGCCCTAATAGTTTCAGTGTTATTTCCTGAGACAGTGTAGAAACCATATGTTGCTGTTACACATTAATTCGGTATTTTCAGACAAAGAGTGCTCAGCCAAATCAAACCGGTGATTAGTTGACAGTTCTGCATGAAGAAAGCAAAGTCCACCAAATTCCCAGACTCTGCAAATTTGAGCAATAGAGCACAAGCGCTAAGACGTAAATGTTCTAAAACTATCTCCAGGGGGACATCAGTGCCTGTAGACATTCCTCCCAGAATCAGTACTTCATACTAAGAAGCACTGAAATTTTAGCTGTGTGTGTTAATTTGCATGTACGCTAGGAGATAATCCAACACTACAATTTTTAATTAATAAATGTATCTGCCTGCTTTCCTTTTTTATTTTTTTCTTCTCCAGACTCTGGTTGAGTGCCATCCATCAGGAATAAACACTCACACTTCTTTGAGTATACCAGACCATGTATCAAAGGAGGCCAGATCACTGATTCAGCAGGTAATTGAGGGGAAAATCTGTTTTCTACTGGTACATGTGTAGACTGGACAAATACTTATATACCTAAGTTGTTCTTAGGTACTGTGAAGTAAATGTAAAAACAGAAAGCTGCTGACAGGAACATGGGTGGGTCTTTTGTCAGCACTGATGAATTTTGCTCAGCTGTCTTGTTGCATCTGGAAACTTTGACTTCTGCTGTGAGGTGTCTCTGTAGAAAACTGGAATGTTTTGCCATTTCTTCAAAGAATAAGTTTGGTCAATGCTGAGTGCTTTTGAAACACCTGCTGGTGATGCATAAACATTTTAGGATTCTGCCCTAAATGCAATGAATTGAATTAAACTAAAAAATGTTGATGCCAATTCAGCAAGGTAGCTGCAAGTACTATGAAACCTGTAACACATTGATTAGAAGTTATGACATTGCTGTGGTTGAAAATCTGTAGCTGTCCTCCAGCTGTCATCCTTCTAGATGCCATTTGTTAAGAAAAGTACTTTAAATTGTGAATGCAATGACTTTTGTAAATAAGATACCTGGTAGGTTGGACAAAAGGCAGAGTAGGAAACCTTAAAGTATAGACAACCTTCCAGACTAATATACCATTTTCAAACTAATGGAATAGTATTGGCTGCTGGGTTTAGTTTACTCTTGGCTTTAGGCAGCCAGGATTCAGAGAATAAACTTTTAGTACAGGACCTTGAATTTCTGGTAATGCTATCTTTCTTCTAGTTAGTTTTGACCTGACTGAGGAAGCGGAGCCTGGATCTGACCTATTCCACTTCAGTAGAATAAGTGATATATGTGAACTACATTGTTCGGCTTTGAAGAGTATCTTGCTAGTGGATGCATAAATAATGACATCACTTAGATGTACTTTTGAACAGAGCAGAGTGGAAAAAATAGTTCTTGAAGAAAACAAAGGAAAGAGATTTTGAAAATTCAGTGAGTCAAAAGACCCAGTGACAGACTGATTTCTGTGCCATTACTGTGAAATGGTTACTGGAAATGGAGCTAGACGTTTGGACCTCCTATTTTGACTAGGTCACTTGAAGTCATGTAAGGTGAAAGCATGTGTCTGTGTGTTTCTGGCAAAGGTAGAAAGGGAAAAGTGACTAGAGAAAAATCCCATTTTTGTATAACTTGCATTTGTATTGTTAGATGGTAGCAAATTGTTACCCTCACCCACAGGTGCTACAGGACTCAAATGGCTAAGGGAAAGCCAAATCACACTTGATGAAGGGAATTCCTCCCATTAAGACTAAAATTGAAGACAAATGAAGTCGTCCAGTCCACTTCTCCCTGCCAATGTAGGATTGTTCTTCACTGCAGACTAACGTATTGCCTATTTTCAAATATGCCAAAGAGTGGCTCTTTTGCCACTTGCGGTTTTAGTGGCAAATGTATCTCTGCCACTCGCAGATATATTAGAAGGCCATATCTGTTTGGAGAACAGTCACCCCAGTGCCTGTTAGGTTAAGCCTTCTAGTGTAGGGTGGTGACTTATCTGGTGGAGGTTTGGCTATATGAGCTAGTAAATCACATTTTTGTTGTGTGACTATCCAAGGAAGCTGCCATTCATTGTTGAGGAAGCCTTGTCAGGAAAAGGAAGAAAGCTCTCTTGGCATGGATAGCAATTTGTCATTGCGACTTTCCTTCCCCCCACTGCCAAGGGTAAACAGGTCAAAGCATCACAGAATAACTCTCCGGGATCAATGTTCAGCTATACAGAAAACTGTGTCAGGCGTTGTCTCCTGCTGTGGCTTCCAGTGCAGGTGACTTTGTTGTAAACACCTCCTTCATTTAGCCAGCTTCTAAGAAAACAGAGAGCTGTTTATTTCTGGTGAAAGATGAAGTTGTTATTTTTATGTTGGTTTGGTATTTTGCACCCAATATTTTATTTTTCAGGCACCTCCAGGCTTTACTACCAACAAAATATGCAACATGACTTTTTCAATAGGTATCTATTGCAGTTTGTGTTGCATCTGCTTTCTAAGATTAAAGTTCTTCTGGAAAGGCAAACTCTAGAAAGTAAGTGTCCGTGCTTACTTTGCCCCTGCTGGTGCTGGTTGTATTTCAGCAGAAGGCAGAGAGACCCTGGCTGCGTCTGTTTCTGCTGGCTTGTGGAAGGTATCAGAGCAGCACTGTTGACTGTCACCGAGCTACCTTTACTATGTGACATTATGACTGCAAATAGCAGAGTCATCTTAAAATGTGTAAATTCCTATGTTTATGGATGTAGACTCACTTAGATGTTGAGTGCATTAAGATATGAATACACATTGTTCCAAGTGACAACTGGGAGAAGTTATCCTATTAGCTGTTGCAGAAAAGGCAAGAAAGAAATCATGCCTTTGTACTGGCTGTAATTGAATAGAGTATAAACAGTTCTCTCAAACTGCAAAATATTTTTGTGTGTCTTTATTAAGTCTCTTTGGAGTATTACCTTTGCATTCCCTTTTATACGGATTGGTATCTTTAAACAGATGTAAATATTGTGATTTCCTTTTCACATGAATTCAGCATGTGATGTACAACTAAAAAGCCAACGAGGTGCTGAATTTTAGGAAATTTCCATTAAGCCATTACACTGTTTTGTTTCTTTCACTGGGGTTTTGATTTTTCAGTTTTAGTCCATTTGTAGGACTCTCTAAAACTTTTTTTTTTCTTTTTAGGAAATAGAGAACTGGCTGTAATATCCTGGTGTTTTAGGACGAACTTACAATTTATGAAATGGAAAGCTACAGACCACTGTCTCCAATGTAGCTGTAACGCAGTGGTGTGAGCAAAGGTTAACATGAAGTAAACGCAGTGTCCAGAGTTCTACCGATGTAGGCTCTGGTTGCTGTTCTCTTTTTTTAAAATGAGGTTACACTTAAAATGAAGTCCCAATGTGCAGTGCTTCAGGGAATTGCATGCTGTGATCAGTAGTCTCTGAAGACTGTAACACTGAGACTCAAGGAAAGGAGAGTCTTCTTCCATTTACTGGATTTTAGGAATTTCAAGTATGCTTTCGCACTCTTGAAAGTAATTCATAGAAGAGGAAAACGGTAGGATGTCCCTTACCTTAGACCTTTCTGGAACTTTTAAGCAGTTGTTTTTGTTCTTACTCACTGAATCATATATATTTTTTTTCTTTTTATATCAAGCTTTTGCAGTTTAATCCTGCGGAGCGTCTTGGTGCTGGCGTTGCTGGTGTTGAAGACATCAAATCTCATCCATTTTTTGCCCTTATAGAATGGGCAGATCTGCTCAGATGAGAGATGCGTGCCCTCTGAACAAACTCAGGTCAAGTGGACAAGTTTCTCTGGCACAGAAGGACCCTGACTTGCTTCCTTTGGATGTCCCAAACCATTTGGACGTGATGACTAAAGGACGCTGGAGCAATCAGGCCAAAAGTGAACACTTTTAACAGGAATCACTGGTTGTACAGGGTGCTAGCTTATTTTTACGGCAACTGGTTGCTACATATGTGTAAGTCTTTTCGCCAAAGGGTGGTTTGTGGTGAAACTCCTGGGCAGCATGTTTAGCACTGCCAGCTTGTTGACTAAGTAGAAACAGGAATGTGCTCCTGGTGCTTTGTCTGATGATGGAAGTGTCTATAGACCGTGCCAGCTGAAAGTATCTTTTATAGTGTCAACAGAACATTTCCCTATGCTAAGTGCAGCTCTGGGGGGGCGAGAGGAGGAAGGAGCAAATAACTTGTTAACGGTATATGCTGAATAAAATACTAAAATGCTTTATGCAAAAGTTGACACGTTAAAAATAATATATCCATTAAAAATTAAGAAAGCTGTTGCATAATACTGTGGAATGTGTCTTGAAAATGGCATATAATTTCCCGCTGTGGAAAGAGCGTATAAAAGGCAAATAATGCTGTCAAATGTTGTACTTCGTTGGCTGGCAATGTCTGTTTAAAACTCTTGACTCCGTTGTATTTGATGAGCTACATGTTAAAGTCACTACAGAAAGGGAAATCTTCGTTTCCTCAGCCAGATAAACACTGCTTTAGCACTCTAATAAGCAGCAAGAAAACACAATGCTAAATAAGTGTATAGATTAAAAAAGGAAAAACTCTTCTCTCATCACTGCAGCCACCACTTTATCACTTAATGAACTTTACTTCCTCTAAGTGTCCTATTTTTAGCTGCTACTTCAGGAAAAAACCTTTCTGCTCGTGCTCTTCTGCTTGAGGAAGCTTCTGAACTCTCCTGTTTGTTTGTTAATAGTCTTAATAAATCAAAGAAAACCTTCACCCACTCTGCTGCTCGAACAGGAAGAAGCCTGGGATTTGCTCATGCCAAATGACTAAGTGACATCTCTGAGCAAACCCTAGTGGGTAAGACTTGGGTGTGAGCCAATTAGCTGACCTGTTTGTTTGTTAGAAAGGTCTGGAGAATGGGAGAAGAATATAAGACATGCAGAATATTTTGCTGTGTGCTGCTGTTGCTGCTAAGCAGCCATGCTTATATGGGTTCCTGATGTACAAATGCTGTACGCTGCAATGCTTGTACAGATTATGGATCTGTGGGTTTTTTCCTAAATGTTCCCTTCGCTCTCGCTCTTTTTTTTTTTTTTTTTTTCCCTTTTTCTTCTTCTCCCCAGCTTTATCCGGAGAACAAAGGGCAAATTCCTTTGGGAAAGTGAGGTGACAGCAATGATTATTGAATTTACAACTCAAAAAAAAAAAAAAAAAGCATCCCTCCATTTGTATTTTAGCAGTGTATTTTATGGGCACTCCCAAAAGTGCATCTGCACAGTCTCCATCTGTTAGACACCAGGTCGGTGTATTCAAATAAAGTGGAAAAGGAAAATACTTCACTTAAACAAAGGAAATCTGGAAACTTTTTTTCCTTTTTAAATTATTCCACTCCCCTCTTTTTTTCTTTCTTCCCTTTCTTGTGATCACCAGGCCAGCAGAGGGGCTGTAACAACACCGCAGGTTGTAACCAGGTCACTAGTATCACTGCCTACGGAGCGCTGTCCAAGATTACATCACTCTCAGAAACTGTGTTTCAACCTACCACCCTCTGGCTTCATAACAGGAACTCCCTCAGGTGAGCCACAGGAACAACTTCCTGCGCCGAGCGGCTCGGAAATCTCTAATGCGGAGACCAAGCTGATCCAGAGCTTCCTTCCAGCACTGCCCTGGCTGTGACTTTGGAGAGGGCTCGTTGCTCAAGGGAAGACTCCCTTCCCTTGGCCACCTGACTCCATCCCTGGGGTTCTCTAGCCCGGCCACCAGACAATGGCGTTGCCCATGTTGATCTATCCCACTGCATCTGCCTGGCGATAACCGCAAAAAAAATATTTCCCATGTTACTTTAAAATGCTCTCTTGTTCAGGTTGTGCCCATGTGCTGGTTGCAAGTAAAGGCAGGATAAGATAACACAGGAGCACAAGCCGGTTTCTGTGAGCAGCAGAAGGAAAACACTGTTCTAGCAGAAACCAGATGACCAGTCACTCTCACTGCAAAGCATTTGCTTTAGTTTGTGACACAGAAATATTTCTTTTTCAAGTATGTTAGTAGTGAGGAAATCTAGATCATGGAGACTAGAAGGAATGGGGCACTTGGCAAGATGGCTTGCCAGAAATAAGCCTTTGAGATGCTACAGGTTTTCATACCTTTACCACTGACTCAGATAATGGTTTTGCTAAAGGAAGCACAGTCTGGAGTTAATTGCACAAAAATTCCTGCTTCTACCTTTTTTTTTTTACCTTTAACATGTAATATGTTGTATTAGTGTTTACATGTATTCCTTTAATAAACAAAACCATTCAAGCCTAATTCAGACCTTGGGTTTCTGAACTTTACATTTAGTTGTTGAAGACAATCCTTCCTACCTAATCAATGCTTTTTATCCTTGGCTTTCATGACTTGAAATGTTCTAGATATCTTCCTTTTGGTGCCTCTTATGAAGCCCTGTGGTGCACATCTCTGTTTTGCTGACTGTTAAGTAGTGCAAAGTCCATTCCACCTTCCTTCTGTTACACCTAATGGCTGATAGCAAAACAAATCAGTGCCATTTTGTTCACAGGAATTAGTGAGAGTCTATGTAAAACACAGTAAAATAAACCTATAGATTTTCCTGTTCTCCTGCGGGTGTTCAGGTAAAGCAGATAACACACTTAGGACATCTCAAAGTGGTAATTCATTGCACCCTGTTGAACCACTCTGTAATGTTTTTTGTGTCCTACTAAGAAAAACTGGGAGACAAAATGTTTGAAGGCTTGCACTGGGTAGAATTGCTGTGAGGCGAGCCAGGGCCCCTGCCCAGACCTACGGAAGAAATTGCATCTCATGAAATACAAGGGGCATAACTTTTTTGGCTTTTAATGGCTGTATTCACAGCTTCTGTGCTTGTAGCGCAGCTCCTATATCTACTGTGAAAATCACCTCTCAGACAGCAGTCACTGTCACGCTGACTCTCTGCGCACCTTTGGGATGCTGAGTCGGCAGGGTTACCTGCGCCGGAACATCCACCCGGCGCCCCTCTCCGGTGCTAAACCTGTTCCTTGGTGTGTCCCCGCAGCGAAGGGCACGGGGATGAAGAAGGCTGGGGAGGTCAGCCTTCTCTAAATGAAGCACTCAGCATAACAAGGTACAGGGAATTGCGAAGTAAACCGCTACGGGATTTTTATTTTTTTTTTCTGAGTGTGGTGTCATTTGTTTTCTCAAGGACACTGAGTAGGAAGCTGGAGAAACAGAAACTTCCTCTCTGGTGAGATTTATGGTAGGGATTTTAGCAATAAAATGAAAAAGTACATTTGTTGATTTCTTTGGGTTTGTGCTTTCTGCATGGGCTTTGCTGTGAGCTGAACTCTGCGGCTCCCGGCGCTCTGCATGAGGGGGCCTTTGGGCCCCAGCACGTGCCGGCGGGCCAGCCTGCGGCCCGGTCTGGCCATGGCGAAGCACCCCAGAGTCCTCTTCCAGTCAGCAGCGTCTGTGGCTGAAAAGCACCTCTCGCAGGTGGCCCTCGGCTCTGCGTGTCTTCTGAGCCACGTGGAGCTTTCAAGTCGGAGCCCCACAGCTTTTTGCAGGGGCTGCGAAGTTGCGCGGACAGGATTTCTTTGTCTCTCTGCAGCAGCGGCCTATTAAATGCTGCCCCTTCCCTCGCCTCAGCGGGTTGTTACCTCAGGACCGCCTGTCCTCGCTGCACGGCATCCTCGGGGTACGGTCGGAGATGCCACTGGAGAGGCCCTTTGTGTAACAGAGCCTCTTGTTTCTTTCCACCATGCTTCTGCCTAGCAGCCTCCTGCGCAGCGTGGTGGGCCGGGCTCTCGCTCTGCAGCGGTACGTGGCACCACGTGTGTTAATGGTTGTTCTTTAGTGTGCACCCACCAACAAATGGCAGGCCGGGGCGTAGCGAGGACCAGAGCAGGCCTGGGGCTTTGGCCACCCTGAGTGCCTAAGGACTTTCCGTGTGACCTCGCCTGCAGGGCTGGGCCCCGTCAGGGTGTCGCACCACGGCGCCGCAGGAGGAGAAGCGCCTCGGCAAGGTCAGGAGGCTGGAGTGCAGCTCCCGCTTACGTGAATGCGTGTGGGGGCAAGATGGGGGAGTGAGGGACTTGGCCGAACAGCAGCGGGGGCTCTGGCAGCTGTAGAGGAGCCACGGGGCGTGTGTGAGGGGCTCAGGCAGCCCCCAGGACCGGGTGCCTTGTGCGGCTCCAGCTGCAGTTTGGGAAGGGGTGGCAGAGCCAGCTCCCAGAGGGGGAATGGGACTTGCTTAAAAGGTGCCGAGCAGCTGCTGCTGGCAGCAGTGGTTTAGACTGGCAGCTCACGGCCGTCTCCTGCGCTGCGGGGCCCGGCGGAGGGCTGGTTGCTGCCTGAGCCATCTGCAGGAGCAGAGCCGGGGAGCCCTGGCCCAAAGGTGAGGTGTCCTCAAGAAAATCCCAATTTCTGGGCGGCAAAGCGGTGGAAGTGGTCCCACCTCCTGCTAGTGCTGTGTGGTGAAATCTGCGCCCCTGCTGCTGGGCAGAGGAGGCTAATCAGGGTGCAGCAGAGAGGATGCTCGACTCCCGGCAGCGGGTGACAGCTTAACGTGCTGCCCCAACAGGACCTTGCTGCCTGTTGGCAGACCAGAGGCTCTCCTTCTCCAAAGGCAGCTCTGTCTCCATCTTCTTGGCCCAGGGACCCATCAGAAGGGATTAGAGCTGCTGCCGGAGGGCTGCAGTAGCACTGTGATGGGCAGGAGGGCTGGGGAAGCGTGCAACACCGGGCAGCGGGGAATTAGTGTCCTCTTGGGAATGCTGTGGGCAGTCGCCTTGACACTTTGCTGCTGAGATCCTAAGGTTGGCAAGTTTGGGAAAAGTCCTTCTGGGGGCAATAAGCTAGACAAGCCAATTGGCAAGTGGTGGAGCTGGGAAAGAGCAGATGTTGCGGGGGTCAGCGGTCCTCCTCAGCAAAGCCTTGCTAACCTCGTTTTGCTGTGCTTTGGAGACAGGGCCGTTTTGCCTCGGTACAACCTCACCTCTACCAGTTTCTCTCATCCCCTTCCATGAGCGGAGCCATTTATCCCCAGGGTATTTTCTAGGTTTGCCCAGCTGCCTCCATCCATGTCCTGTGTTACATCCTTCAGCCCTGGTCACAGATTTTCTTGCCCTTTCTGTGCCTTTGGTTCTGAAATGTTGCCCCAGAATGCTGGGACCCAGGAGTGGATTACTAGATGCAGCTGTTATCCCCATGTACCAATGAAAACAGAGAGCATTACTCCCACAAAATGAAAGTGCAGGGGTTGTAAAAGTGTTAGGAAATTGCTTACCCCAGCAGTGTGTGAGTAACGAGAGTTTTATGGTACCTCGCACAGTGGTGGGATAACGAGGAAGGAGCCTCCACGAGAGGGGCCGGTGCTGCGCCATGA